TTATTATTATATAGGGTTATATAATGACACTGACAAAAGCATGCAATTACATGTGATGTCATTATATGTCGATGATTTTTTGTTAATGTCAGCATTTTAAATAAATAGCTGCTATTGCCGATTTTTTGTTTCAGATTAAGATAACTGACACGATATGTTATTGCAATGTTAAATCTTTTACTAATATTCAGAAACAGTTGCTATATTGCATTAAATTTAAATCGTGACATCATATGTATACATATTATCCTAAAGTGTCAAAAATTTTTGTTTCCTGGTTTGGCAACAAAAAATTATTTACGAATTAGTTGTAGCTTGGAAAGACTGAATTGATCTCATTCATATTGAAATATTTTTATACATTTCCTTTTCAGGAGCACATAGAGCTTATAAATTTTGCTTTGGCCGCAGCCCGTTAGTTTATTCATAAAATGAATCCTGATGAACATTATGACATACTTAGGTGATAGCAGAAAAGCAATGTATCAAATGTTTTTCAACAAAAATAACAATCATTTCTGACACATTTTCAGACAATATCAGAATACAAATATGCATTGACTTAAATATATAGAGACATGAATTTGGAATTTCCAGGAAAGGAAGACAGACCTGGAAATATTATGATTATTATTCTCTGATTTATAGGATATAACACAGCAAATAGTATTATTCAGATCTTCATAAAAGATGAACATCACAAGCGCATTTTAATATGAACTTAAACACTATATTACAGTAACATCTTAAAGATATTGGCAAATTCTAATATTGACAAAAACCAAGCAACACATAAGTCACAAAAATAAGTAAAAATGTCAACAACACATTTTATACAACAGACTTTAAATTTGAACATTACACTATAAAATTTTATATAAGTAATCTAGATATACATATATATATTTATATTATTCATTTATTTTATGCATGTATGTATGTAATGCTAAAGTATCACAGATGATACCTTTGGCTAAATTACCAAATTCTGTATTCAGAGAGCTTTGCCTACTTTTAAAATCTTCATAAAAAAGGTAGTTTTACAACAATTACATAGTGCTGAGCAAGAAATAGTGCTTTAGTTGCATATATTTTATAGTCTGCAAGAAAACAGTACACACTGCACAAAAAAAGGGGGGACAGTTTTGTATTTCCTGATCTACTGGGCCGACTGACGAAATTTAATTTGCATTTTTCACATTTGGAAAGTGTTACTTAGGATATATATTAGATTTATATAAAATATACTGTTCCAACATACATATTTTGATTCAAAATTGGACTTCTGAAATGATGTACCAATTTTTTTTCAATATTTCGATTCTACGACTCAAATTATGACTAAAATTTTGTAAAATTTGTTGAGAAACTTGCTGAGAAATTAAAAAACTTAGCTTGCAGCAATCTTTTCAATTTGCACCAGGAATAATTCATTTGGCGAAATTTTTAATTTTTGGTAACCAATTTTCCTTTCCCTTTCATGGTGCACGAGTGGGGAAGGTGTATCAATCATCCTTTCAAATAATTTTAACAAAGTGTGTAAACTACATTTGGCATTATTATCGTTTATAACAAATATGTCAAATTTCAAAATGTGTCAATATATAAATTCCCATATATCTTGAGAAATTTTGAATAAAAAAAACTCTAATTTTTGCAGGCATGCTTAGAAATACTTCTACCTTAATAGTAAAAATTTTACAGGTTATATATAATTAAAAAAAACTAAAAAATACAAATTTCAAAAACAATTCAGAAAAAACTTTTAATTTTTATTTTTTTTTATTATTATTTATTTAAACTTAAATTTCATATTTGAACGAAGAAATATCAAGATAAGTTTAATAAAAGAAGAGGTATTAATAAATATATGCCAAATTCAATTAACATTGAGAAGAAAAAATTTCAAGAGGTAAATTTTTTAAAAACTACTTGTGCAACTTTTAGAAAACTTGGCACTTTGGCATAATTTGATTTCTAGAATCGAAATGTAGAAAAAAATAGATATGCCATTTCAAAAAGAAGAAGGCCCCGTTTTGCATCAAAATACATATGTTAGAACAATATTATTATGTAAATCTAATGTATATCTCACACTTTCGAGACACAAAAAATGCAAGTTAAATTTCATCAATCACCCCAGTAGAATGGGAGATATAGAACTACCCCCTTTTTTTTTTGATGCAAGGCATACATTAACAGATTCATTTTTCACAGCACAGAATGCACTTGCATAGTACAGTTTGCTACATTTAACATTAAATAAAACAGAATTTTGAAAAATTATAATCAGTTACCTTCACAAACTCTCATATTTCTATATTAAAATTATGAAACAATGAAAAAGATTGTCATGAAAATAACATGACTATTTAATATACATACAGGGTAAAATTTACAACATATTACTTTTGCTTAACTTTCTAAATTAATAATTAAGAATGACTATGATGGACTATGAATGACTCTTTCATTCTATTCCATTATTTAAATCGTATAATATAAATTTAAAAAAAGTATATTTTATTTCTTATTTTTCATCTCAAATATTCCCCAACACAGACTGCATATTAAATAGTAAAACAGGAAATTTGAGCTGATAACAGAATTCTGCCATTTCATTACAGCATTCAACAACGTCTCAAATTATGTAACAGGAAGAAAGGGATTCTATATAAAAGTTACCTATTTAACCCTTAATCAGCAATATGGCTTCTTATGGACTATACAAAATAAAATACTATATATTTCGATCCATACGCTGAGCATTCATAAGAAAAATTTTCTACTTAAGTTTGGGGATCAGCTCACACATAAGTTCAGAATTATTTCTAAATCAAATTTCTTAATATTAGTACCTAATTGGTATATATTTCAGCAACTCAGCATTTTTTACCTGAAGTAAATGGTGAATGTCACTGCCCTCCATTTAACCATTACTGCCGTTGTTATCTGCCTTACGGTTAGTAGCATCTTCAGATTAGTCCTTAGTATTTGGTAAAAATGGTAACTTTAAGTGTAAAATTAGCAGAATATGGAGTCCTTTTTTTTTTTCAGGCATTAAGTCAGTCATTTAAGTTGAACAAATGAAGGGATATATTTTACTCATAAAAGTGAGAGTGCAACTGAGGGAAAAATATCTTATAAGAGCTCAAGAATGATTGCCACAACTGAAAATCAAATTAAAATTTACTATGTTCCAATCAAGTGTAGCTTAATGTAGTTATATTTGTAAACAACTATTTTGATAGTACTAAATGATGAGCAAAAAATGCTCTTCAAAAAAGCAAGACAATTCAATTAATTTAATATAACCAGAACATACAAATAGGTACTTTCACAGCATTGTAATTATGAAAACAGAAAAATTTACTTATAAACTGTCCACATCGTCTTTAAAGCAATCGTTTATGATTTGCTCAAAATGTTTATCAGAAATTATTTGACCAAACTTGAACCCCTAATCTTAATACTTAGAATGCATCTCTAGTTGAAAGAGAACATGCCAATGTTAAACTAAAAACTGAAGGGCAAGGGAATCTTAGCAAATGTTTTCATGGATTTTTTGTTTTGTGAGCAGCAAGGAAAATGGGGAAATATTCTGCAGAAAATTAAGGGATTTCTGTCTGATAATTCTCAAAACTGACAGAGTTAATCAGAATCTATACCAAATTAATGTTGCTTTTTCTGCTTAATTTTAAATGGTTAATTAAAATTGAAACCAAGCTGTTTGGTGAATCAGTCCCTCACTTGACTACATTTCTCTGAAAAACAAATTTTGATAAAATTTTGTAAATGTAGTGAAACCTTACTAAAACTATCATTCAAGGATCCAAATGATTTTAGTCTTCTGTGTAGATGGACATGACTACAATATAATGTACCAAGTAACAGACCATCAAAGCGTAATTTGTATTTGTAAGCTCTTTTTTAATATGCATAAAAATGATTTTTTGAAATTTATATTATGAAGCTGGTTTAAGAAAAACTTCAAAATGCACAATATTTGAGAATATTTAGAACATAAATTTCTGCCCCTCTCTTTAACAAAGAATTAACCAGAGTGCTATCTCATTCTGAAGTCCATGGTAAAAACGAACACTTTTTTTCGGAGAAGGTGATTTTTATATTAAGACGTAAATAATTATTTTTTAATCCCCAAAAATAATTAATTTAATTAGATGATACAAAACTATTATAACATTCTGACCTTAAATTATATATAACAGTAAAACCAATGTGATCATTAAATATATATCTCCGTAAAATACACAGTTGTTTTTTTAAACAAATCTATATTTATCAAGATGTAGGTTTATTTTAGGATTTCTTGCACTTCACAGGGACTCTCATGAGCATTTTGCCTATGAAAAACATCATAGGATTGCTGTTTTAAGAGACTTCAGGGAAAAACTACTGAGGATGTCTTTTTCATTATTAACAATTAAAAGTTACATAAAAATACTTTTTTTTTTTTTTTATGTTTCACATTACCATACTTCTTTTCTGTCTTGATTTAATATTTATTTTAATCTTTATACAAAATAGTGAGCAGTTTTCTACAAAAAAAAAAAAAAAAATTATACTTAAAACATCTACCATGTATATCAGATACTGTATACAATAGTAAATCAAATATACTCTTCCCATATTCAATACTAATTTAATTTCTAATAATATTTATTAATATACAAAAATGCAAATCTAGAAAATTTCTATTTTTTCTTTTTTTAAAAAAAGAATGAATTTCTTTGTGATTATTTTGATTTTCATGCTCCTGAACAATAAAAGCAGATCTTTACTTACTCAGCACTTGAATTATCACAGTAGAGCTTCTAAAGTTTGCCAGTTTTTTTCATTAGAGCCATATTTTATTAGTTTCATTTAAACATTAGCCTCATAAGAGATTCGAATTTTCTTAATCATTTTACAAAAGATAATTACAAAAAATTCATTTAAAATTAACATCTGAAATCATGAAGCATTAGAAAATACAACCATTTACGAATACACATTTTTTATTTCAAAAGCTTTAAAGGTAAGAAAACTGCCTTACATAAATATACTGAAATAAAATTTGGGTAACTATTATTCAAATATAGTTTATCTATACACATAGATTTTTCTTTTGACTCGGATGCAGCCAAACTTTAAAAGCAATACTGAATAGTTTTTTCTTCCCCTTCTATCAAACATAGTTCTTAGAAGCTTAAAAAACACAGTTGCTACATTAATATCTAAGGAAATTTAAAAGCACTGATATTGCTTGAGTAAATGGAGTGATACCACAGTCTTATTTGCATATGGTGCATATGAAACCCAGTTTACGATGGTTCAGTTTTCATGGGCGTTGGAGAAGCAGTTCCTGTTTGGCTACTGGCATCCACACCTTCATTTGACTGCACCACTGGGAAGAAACGTTCTAAAAGATTTTTTTAAAAAAGAATAAAAACTGAAATTTAGATTTTCGATCAATATCAGATCTTGTTTTATATGTAAATGATACTATAATAAACTTTTCTCTAATTGCACTGGATTAGTTTTTTAAATGAACGAGTAAAGTTTTATATATTCATAGCTTTTCTTTTACAGTTTTCCTTCCCTTTTAATAGTATGTTAGCATTAGAATCATAATTTTATTGCATTGTGATATTTATATGACTTTTCCAAGATATCATGAATACCAAAACTTCCTATAAAGTTGAATAAATCAGCAAGTTCCTCATTTTTTTAACTTTCTAATATTTTTACTCAAGTAAATTTTCATATTTAAATTAACTCTTTCACAGTACCTTCCAGTATTCAAACAAAAAGTAACTGTATTCTAAAAATCCAAGGAAGAACTTTGAAAATTGAACTATCTCCAAACTCTGTTTTCTGTCAAAAGTCATACTGTTACCTGTCAGCATCATTAAACAGCTTTGATGCCAAATAATTCTTTTTCAAACTTAAAAAAGGCTTAATTAGTGTGATATGTCAATGAATGTAAAATATACTGTGTTGGCTTAAAAAAAAAAAAAAAAGCCCTGGAATCATCAGTGTGAATATGATAAAGAAAATGGGTCTTCTAATGTTTTGCAGACTAATAAGAATTATTGAATATATTTTAAAACTTAGATACTTTCCAAAAGATTGGAAAATTGTAATCATTTCACCGCTTCAAAAATCTGGAAAACCATCAGACCACGTGACCTATTGGTCAATAAGATTGCTACCCATTCTATGCAAAATAACAGAGAAAGTTATATTGGACAGCATGAATGAATTTATATCACTGCAAGAAAAATCATTATCCCATCTCAATATGGATTTAGAAAAAAAATCATTCTACGACTCTACAACTTTACAGAGTGGTTGAACTCCATCTCCAGTGGCCTGCAAAATAACATCCATACTCCAGCAGCATTCTTAGATATAGCCAAAGCATTTGATCGTGTTCCGCTGGAAGGACTACTTTACAAGCTAATCATTCTGGGAATCCCAGAACATATCATCTCACTCATTAAATCCTATCTTGCTGATAGAACATTTGTCGTTCGCATTAATCAAACACATTCTGCTAAAAGAAATATTAAAGCTGGCATGCCTCAGGGATGCCTTCTTTCACCAACATTATTTAATATTTATGCAAACGACATACAACACTACTCTCGCCATGTATGCTGATGATACAGCGATTCTTACTTAAAGTGCTTCACTCAGCAATACAACAGCTACAAGAACACATACATGCTATTGAGTCCTGGCTTACAGCCTGGAAAATACAAATTAATGTCAATAAATCAGAAGCTGTATTATTTTCAAAGAAGATCTATGTCCACGGATGTGTCACCATGTTCGACGAAAGAATTCCCTGGGACAAGCATACCAAATACCTAGGTGTTATTTTGGATAGGAGACTCACTTTTTTACCCCACATTAAACACATAATTTCAAAGTTTTGAGGTAGTAGAAGTACACTTCCCCATTAATCACTTGAAACAGTGTTTTAAATATCGATCATAAATTACTCATTTATACGGCCGTATTGCGTCCCATTATAACTTATGCATGCCCTGTCTGGGGATATTTATGTAAAACTCAGCTAGATAGACTGATTTCAATAGAAAACAATACTTTAAGAATTATAGCAAAAGCCAAATGGTATGTTAGATATGAAGCAATTCGTAGAGAACTCAACGTCATTTATATTAATGAGTTCATGAAAAATATTTCAAAAAAATTCTTTAAAAATCTGCAGAAGTCTCAAAATCCTAGCATACCAAATTTGACGTACGATGTGAATTCAGTTGCAAACAGGAGAAGACCCAAAGCCATTCTTAGGAATGTGCCGTAAGTCTTAATTTATTTACTTAAAAAAAATCTTTAAAAATAACTAACTTAATGTTAATAATATTTACATATAAATTTCTAATTTAATTCATACACTCTAAATTCACAAAAATCACAGCTTGCATGTGACACCCCTTAACCTATCAGAATTTAGCAACTCCTCAACCATGCATTGGATATTCCAGCATCACATGACCATCCACAACTTCAGCCAGTTCTGCCTTCTCTTCGCCACAGCTCGGATGTCTCCAGTGAAGGGCGCTACGCCTCTCGTCGCCGAACGGTGCCTAGTACTTTCGATGCTACGATCTGATCCTCCGGCCACTGCCTTTCAATTGCTTATGTCATCCGTTCAGTCGATTTATTGCACAAATCTTCAACTTAATTGCTTATCATGGACTTGCCTTGAAAAAAGATTACTATAGTTGCCTACTTTAAGGTATGCCTTTATGCATCATAAGAAATAAAAGTTTGAAAAGTGACATAAATTCGATGGGGATAGGACACTCGAGTCCAGACGCCCGTTGCAACAAACGCCTCATTCAAGGAAAACTTCTACTACTTTCTACTATGACACTGAGAGTTACTATTTTAAGACAGTGAGTGACTGCAGTTTTGTAAATCTCAAATTTCTTAATGGGGTGTAAATCTTTCTATGATGACTATCCACAGTTTCAGAAAATTTTGGTTGCTTGTGGAAACGACCATCTTAGAAAAGAAATAATCCATAGTTGCAATTATTGATTTACATAAAGAATTTATCCTGTTGCAGCCTGTTAAAGAAATCCCTCTTAGAGTCTATTAAAAATACTGAAGTGTATTATATATTTGTATATTAATAATTATATAATAATAAAACTACAAATTAATAACGACAAAAAGCATAATGCTTTAATTTATACTTAATTTCTTAATTTTATCTAGTGAATAATATTTAAAAAAATATATATAAAGTATATAAATATATATATATATATAAAGTTTGTTTAGTAATTTCTAAAATACTTACAATGAAATCTGCTTAGTTAATTATTTTTTTTCTCTTAAAAGTGTTCGGAAGGGCATTTTATTATACTTGCACCTTTTTGCCAGATGTATATCTTGAATGCCCTTTTATCTTATTTCTAAATTTAATATTTCTACTTTTTGTTCTGCAAGCATCTTAATATAAGGTTAATCAGCCAAGAACTACTATTGAACATAGGTCAACATTCATCAATAGTGCTGCAACTTTGAAAGAAAAACAAGGGATTACAGTAATTCCTTGCTTTCAGCTGCATGGAAGAGAAAATAGAAAAAACTAAAATTAAGACATTTAAATGATTGCCAATGATCTCACTAAGCTTACAAGGAAGTTGTAATGGATGTATATTATCCCTCTGCACTCAAAGTACTCCTCACAGGCACTGCCAAAGTTTGGCTTGTACTCAAAGTGTGCCTCTCAGGCACGCCAGCAACATACTGCACTGAAGATCAAGCGATTGTAATTTACATCTAAATTTTAGGTGCATGTGATTTAATGTTTTGTTGATTTTGAGTATTTAATAATTTGTTTAGATGGGGGGGGAAAAAATTTATCGGGACCAAAAATGTGATGGAAGAAGCGTTGTTTCAAGAAACACAGTGATGATGAATTTACTGCAGATGAATATGAATGTGAATATGATGACAGCAACATTATTCCACTAGTGAAAAAGTATTTCAATATAAGTGATTCTATTGAAAGTGATGCTAACTGCTTTAAACAGTATCATACACTTGAAAATTGCAAATAATTTATAATTAAACTTTTCATTTACAAAATATTTACATTATGGTAATAATAAAGTAACATAAAAATATCTTGCTTTTTTAATTTTATATGGAAATTTTACTTTCAAATAAATCACATATTACATAGCCAGATACAGGGGGAGGGGGAAAAGAAGTCGGGTTTGAGCTGATGAAAGCTTTAGGGGAGAAAAGTCAGAGTGCAAAGAGTTAAAATTCACGATGCTGATGTTTATGCGTGTTCTCAGAATTACTGCTTGGTCTTATAAGATACTGCTATAATAAAGCTCACTGTAATTATAAAATGATTATATTCACCTTTTTAAAACTATATGCTGATTTCAATCACAGTATAGAGCTGAAAATTTTACAAGGACTTCGGAAGTTATTTCTTTGCATTGAAGATCACAGTTAATTATTATTATTATTATTATTATTTTTTTTTTGTGCACTATGAAATTTTTATCTTGACTTCTAAATGGATTGATTCACTTCTAATTTATAGTAGTTATTTCTTATTATAACAGAAGTAGCTAGTAAAAGAAAAAAGAGAGGGCAAGGGTAGGAAATTTAGAACTCAATGGCAATACATTTACCAGTTTTTTTAGAACTTATTTCGATATAGTACTTCTGTATTATCCGATCGACTGTGAAACTGTCGCCAAGCAGTGCGATTTAATACCAATTATGAATAAACATGATGGGCTCATAACATCTCCGCTTTCGCTGTTTGATGCAAGCCGAGAGACCGACCACACAAGTTGTATTGAGGATGGGTGTCTTCAAAACAATTTATCAACATTCAACAACAACAAAAAAGTGTCTATCAAATGCTATGATATGACGATATTTAAAGGAATAACTTACCTATAATATGAGGTGGATCTGAATCTGAAGTATTACAGTGCATGAGACCAGCCATAACATTATAATCAATGTTGTCATCCAAAGAAACAAACTGTCCACTCCATCGAGGGATGGGTGTCGTTCGAGGAGTGGTACGAGGTGTTCCCACAGGGGACGTGAACATCGATAGGCTGGTTGGGCTTATTACTCCACTTAATCCACTAACAGGGCTAATATTTGGGTATGAAAACAACTGTAACATAATGAGAATTTAAAAATATTTTTAATGCTAAAAAAGAAAACATGTTCAAAAATTTCCAAACTATACTTAAATAAAATGACAAACTCAAACAGATATTATTAAAATCCTTAGTATGTTTCCCTAATTTTGTCTGCACTTGTTGGCAATGATTTTTTCACTAATGCTTACTACCAGAAGCATTGTTAACAGGCACACATTGTAAATTTGACGACTGCTGAGCACCTGGCTACACATTTTAATTACGACCAAATTTTAACCGAAAAAGAATGTCTATGATAAACATTACTAAATAAATATAAAGTGAGCTGTGATACACAAAATCAGGCAAAGCAACAATCTTGTGTTTGGTGTCGATTTTAGTGAAGACTATTGATTTCGAAGACAAACAGGTACAGGTCCTTCTTCACCAAAAACAAAGAAATCTACAATGAAGGGAAAGACACAGTTGTATTTATACCCAAAAGGAGTAAAGCAAAAGAGAAAATAGTGCAGCACAATCTGTCGGCAGAAACAGTAATGAAAACTGAAAAATTAAGTCAATAGATCATTTCTACAGACTCACAGTCAAAACTGTGATCAAATTTCCAACTATGACTAGCTATCAAAAACTTGATAACTTTGCCTTTTGAGACAAAAGATTTGTGTTCCTTAATGCAAAACATCAATGCTCTTTTAGTTTGGCCAATATATCTCAAATCACACTAACAAGATATGCTTAAATTCCCCAAGAATTAAAAGTCAAGAAACTTTAAGAATCAAACTGTGGATTTTATTGGTAGGCGAGAAAATTGCTTGAAAATAGAACTTCTGGAGAATATGTATAATTTTGTAACTGATAGAAGGATGAAATGGAGGCATAACAAGGTTATTAATGTCATTTCTAACAAGAAAATGTCTTCTTTGAGGGCAAGATGAAAATTTTTTAAAGTTTTCACCAATGCCCACCGGAGGAAATTCTGGATCCATAGCAAATGATCTAAAATAACTGAGTTCGTTAGCAAGCAAAGATTTTGAGAAATAAATTTTGAATGTGTAAAATACATAATAAAAAGAAGCCATTTTCTGCTTTAACTTAGCATGAGAGACAAACACACAGAAAAAGGTTTACAGTAAACAGTAGTGCTAAAATCAGATTCACTGTGGATCATAAGAATTTCAAGGAAGGGAAGGCTATTCTCAGATTCAGTTTCAAAAGTGAACTGGATGGCTGGATTAATCGAATTTATTACAAATAAAATCTGAGATAATTCTTCTTTATTATCATCAAAAAGCATGAAAGTGTCATCTGTGGTGAATCTAGAGAAGAAAATAATTTCTGAAATAATTTGACCTCTAAATAGTGCATATAAATGTTATGAAGTGCAGGAGTAAGGGGATTTCCCATAACCCAATCAACTTGCTTCATGGCTTAGGAAAATTTTTTGAACGCATTCTGACTGGTCAGTCACTTTGAAAAACACAATCTTCTCAATAAAGAACAATATAGATTCCACTTACGCCATAGTACAGCCAACTAGATCCTTAATGTGAAGGAATATATTATGGAGCCTTACCAAGAAAAACATAATTGCTGGCTACTTCCTTGACTTTGAGAAGACCTTTTACAAAGTATGGCATGAAGGACTTCTCTTTAAGTTACATCAATCACTGCTAGCTGTTAACTTAACCAATCTTCTAAAATCTTAACCTCTAAAACAGGACCTCTGAAGTCTGCACTGGAAATACACTTTCTACCAAGAAAATCTGTAAAAGTGGCGTTTCACAAGAAGTGTTGTAATATATATATAAATGATATGCCAGAGCCCTTAAAAGTAGTCAAATATACAGATGACAATAATAACTAAGTCTGGTAAGGCAAAATTTGCAGTCGACACACTTGAAACAGCAGTTAGCATCCTATCTCACTGGTGCAGCTGTTGGAAATCAAAACTAAACCCCAACAAATGCAACATAATACTCTTTACATGTCATGGAAAATACACTCAAGTTGATATCAATATCAAAATAAATGATCTATCGCTTCCAGTTACAAATTATGTAAAACAACTGGTAATCAACTTTGATCCACAGCTTCTCTTCAAAGAACAGTCAGATTATGCCCTCAGAAAGACTAAAACAGCCAAAATTGCATTATGAAGAATTCATTGCAAGATGATCAAAACTTCACATCAGAATCAAAAGAAAAAGATAAAAATATATTTACGGGCGCCCCTTCGTGATAACTGGCGTTACATGGGCTCCAAATTCGTGCAATTCTTTGACTTGAAATTTTGGCTTTATGTAGTGGCGAAATCGCTGAAAATTGGACAAACTAGACATAGCGTCCCTTTGTCCATGTATAAATCGATTTATATTCAATTAATAAGTCAAAGGAGCAGACAATCAAAAATAAAATCTCAATAAACCATATTTTAAATCAAACAATGAAATAACATGAAAAAAAGAAATTCATCTTGGCACTAGACAAAGGAAATATCCACTTACCTTATATACAAATTTCCGTGCCTTCAGTCAAACAAAATTCCTTAACAGAAAACAAAAACTTCCTAAAATTAGCTGATCTAGAATCTGTATAGTGGCATAGCCACATAAATTCACAAAAATAAGAGTAAAAAATATCCTCTGTAGTGCCAGTATCATCCTACACTCAACCATACGCATTTCCTTCCTACAAACAGGACACTTATAATGGCTAGTAAGTAAACCTTCCATCTACAGCCCAGTCAATTAATGCTTTTTTCCTCTTTTGTTCCAAATCGTACAGAAACTTCAAATTAATCTTACTACATTCAGCCATTTTACTGTGTAAACCACAAAATAACAACATACTTCTTATCCAAAATCCAGCACACAAAACAAGCCTTTCGAAATCTTTTCCATCACTCAAATTGACCGCAATCACGCAACCAATTATGTCACAATAGGGTTTCCATAGCATTCTACTACTCAGGTTACCATAAATAAAACAACAATTTAGCGATAATCCAAGGAGCACTATTAAATCTACTCTAACCAAGAAAAATTTACCCTACTATTATTCGCCCCACATTGCTTTATGCAATACCAACTCTGGAAGACAGTCTGCAAAACCTATAGGAAAAAACTTGATGCATTCCAGAATAAACGACTCTGAGAAATTACAGATGTACTCTAGTTCATAAGAAATCAGCAAATACATAAATAATTAAATAGAATAAACTCAAGCAGTGTTTTTTATTTTCTCAAGTGTAAATATTTTGTCTTTCTTTTATTCTTAGTTATTTTTCACCTGGCAAAGAAGGATATGGACTTAGCATTTTGTGATACCCGGCAAAGCAGGATCTTTATATGTGTTAACTGTCAATATGCTTGTATACTCATATGGCAAGCAGGATATAAATTAAAATTATGAGATTATAAACTGTGGCTTATTAGAACTTTTCTCTGAAACATACATTTTCAAGCAGCAGTCGCTGGGGTCTATACTTAAGTGGGTACACACATGACAAAAGCTGGCCAATCCACAATCTACTAAATGTGCTTAATTGTATTTTCATAAATACTGCATTCAGTTCCCCATATTCTCCCTGTGGTGTGCTTACATACTTTTATTATTAACAGGATTAGATACTTTGTATTATGTGTGATAAAGCTTATAGACTTTGAATTGTTAGAACTATGTTACTTTATCTCTGAAACCTTAATCTTCAAGAAGCAGTAGCCGGGGTCTGATCTTGGGTGGGTGACCACTCACATGACAGGTCGGCGAATCCACAATCTACCTTTGTGTTTCTTTGTATAATCATGTTAACTGCATTGTTCCCCTTATTGTCAGATGTACTGCTCGAACAGCTTATGTAAAATTAATGAAACTTCCAGATATGCACATCAAGGTATATGAACTGCATTTCACCACATTGGTAAACTGTTTTTACGCTTGTATTTTAAAATTTAATGATAGCACCTCCATAAATCCAAGATACATGGTAAGAGCTCATTCTTCTAAATGCAATATGTACCAACAAGTTCCGAAGAGTGAAGGGATACCCATAGTTAATCCTTCAATCTGGTGATAATATTCACATTTTGGAAAACAAAGTGTGTCTGACTTGTAGTGACTTCAGTAAAAGAAATTAACTTTTCAATTTCAATATGTGCAAAATGGATTTTTAAAAACTTAGTTTTAAGACATTTTAGTGCTCTTTTGACAGGAAAATTAGTAAACAAAGATTTAACATCAAAATAATTTTTAGTGTGAATATTGTTAGAAAGTAAAGGAGACAAAATATATAGGTAAAACGAGAGACTTTTTTCAATTAAAATGGGAGGATACGAGAAGATTTAAAATCTGTTTTAACTTTCATGAGGTCAGAACTTGAAGCATCCTTAGGGATCGAGCAGGGTGGATCTTCATTTACCCCTGGTTTCATGACTACATCAATGTATGTGTGTTTGCCCATTACAACAGGGACAGGGAAAAAAAGGACTGAGCACCAGAACTTTGCATATGCTTACACAGGTATTGCAACAATTACCAATGGACTGGCAGGATAAAAAGGCACCTTTTCTAAAATATGTGACAGATATTATTGACCAAGAAACAGATAATAAATACGGATGAAACACCATTAGTTTTTGACTCTCCTGCAAGCAGAATTGTTGATGAAACTGGTGCAAAAACTGTATCTGTTCTTACGATGGGGCATGAAAGAACATCATTTACATGTGTGTTAGCTTGTGCCGCAAACGGTGACAAGCTAAAGCAGATGATCATTTTTAAACAAAAAACTATTCTGAAGGGAGATTTCTCTAATGACGTAATTATTTGTGCAAACAAGAATTGGATGTGTGAAACAATCATCCATGAGTGGCTACAAAAAGTTTGGCAGTGTCGTAAGGGATCTTTTTTCTACCAAAAGGGTTATTGATAATGGATTCCATGCATGCTCACTTACTTGAGTCAGTGAAAACCAGATGTCAAAAGTTGTCTACAACCGCAGCAATAATTCCTGTGGTTTGACAAAAATCTTACAACCATTAGATTTGTCAGGTAATAAATCCTTCAAAGCTGAAGTCTAAAAGCGGTGGGAATGTTGGATGAGTGAAGGATTCCATACGTATACCAAAAGCGATAAAATGCGTAGAGCATCTTATGAAGAAGTTGCAATCCTTACATAAAGAGACTGTAAACCAAGAGGATGAATGTGACAATCTGGAAGACTTAGATCAGGATTTACTAAATCTTTTTAATTCAGATAGTGAAGAATCAGATTTTGATGGCTTCATGTGATGTATAGTTTGCTGTAATTCCTTTTGTATTCCTTTCATCATCCAAATTTAATATTTCGTTGTTGGAACATTTTTTATAATATAGTCTGAGTATTACAAATATGGACTTCTTTAGTGGGTAAACATAAGTATATTCGTGAACATAAATATATTTTCAACATTTCTTACCTTTAATTTATTTTTGAGTTATGGTTTTATTTCATGCATTTTTCTTAACTGATATGTCATATATCAGGATATATCAGTTAAGAAAAGATTAACTGATATGTCATTATTATTAAAATTAGGTTGAGATTTTACATCTATACGGCCCACGACGATGTCATGTGCAATTTAATCTATTGCAGCGTTTCTGTGTAATTTTAATTTTTTCCCGCTATTTTTCTCGAGTGTGGCATTTACGCCAATGCGGCCTTTCTTCCGGAAATTATGGTAGTATAATTCATATTCAATTTTAGACAAGCATTTGCATGTATTTCTTATAATGTAAGCACAAAGTGACAATCTGAATTCATACATAATTTTCGAAATGTGAATGGAAGATTTACGATTTTCTTGAACTTGTATAAATTTGGGAATGGTATTTTGATGTTTGCAATTAAACAAAAAAATGGAGATGGTTCAAGAATTTCATGTGCTTAAGGCAGAATTTACAAACTGTTTCCTGTCTACTGACATAAAGGAAACAATTTGTAAGTAACAAATGGGGCAATAAGCACGGAAAAATGGCAAATACAATTTTCAATATATAATATAGGCAAAGTGCAAATTGGAAGAAATAATATAAAGAAAAACATCAAGGAAAAAAAAAAATTAAAGAAAGCAATACACTACTCCCACCCCTAAAAAAAAAAAACCCCACTATTGATACAACAAAAAATTAACAAAGCAATTTGCACATGAAAAATGTGACAAAATGATCAAAAAAGATATATAAACAAAAAGAGAAACTCAGCAGCTTCAGAAAATGAGAGAATTCAGTAGCCACGTGGAATGGCAAAGCAAAAAACAAAAAGTTGCAAGTGGGCAAATGATCAAAACTAGAATAACATTCTCGACAATGCCACTTGATAGTAAAAATAACGAGAAACAAACCAAAGTAAAATATAAAATTATGCAAAGCAACAATCTTGTGTTTGGTGTATATTTCAAACAAGATTATATCAATTTCGAGCACAAACAGGTACTGATGGCTCTTGATCAGGAGCAAACAAATCTGCAGGGAAAGGAAAGCCACAGTTGTATTTATATCAAAAGAAGCAAAACAAACAAGAAGTTATTACCATTCATTGGCAGAAAATCGAAAAATTAAGTTGATAGAATTTTAAAAGTGGAGCTGGATACTAATTACAGTCTTTAACTAAGCTCCATGAATGTGAAAAGCTTCAAGAAAATCCAATTCACAAATGGAAAAAGATTTTTGGATAATTTTTGCTGACCCAAAGTTAAAATTGTGATTAAATATCCAGCTATGATTAGCTATTTTAATAATTTCGCTTTTTCGGACAAAAGATTCGTGCTCCTTGAGGTGAAATTTTAACCTTCTTTTAGTTTAGCTGATACATCTCAAATCACAACCAACAAGGTATGCTAAAAATTCGCTAATTTAAAATTTGATTAAGATTTGAAGTAATTTTGAGATTTGACGAAAATTTTTTTATTGTTGCATTTTATTTTTATGAATTGACACTTTAATACTAGGCATATATTCATATCTAAATACTATATCATGAAAGGAAAATTTATATTTATCATGGAACATCAATTTTTTAATGGAGCAGCTATGCTTTTTCCCTACGTCTTTATAAGCCTATCAGATAAGAAATCAGTTTCTGTATGATTCAATATGTATATTTCTATCACACATCAACATGGAACATATATATATATATATTACACAAAATAAAATATGAACAGATATTGCACAAAACACTTATTCCAAACTTAATGGTCTTAAAAATATTTACATGAGCATTTATTTTCATTTCACATATGGAAATTCTAGAATATGTACCTGTGCTTGTGGGTGTATATGTGCAAATGTGTGCTCTGATCTGACTAGAGTAGTAAACGGACTATTCATAATTGACCTACTCAAAGGTGGTGTATCTGCATTACTGACCGTTGGTCCTAAAATAAAAATAAAATATTAAAAAATGCTTATAATTTGTAATAATTTAACCCTTAAGTTATTATGTATATTCAGTTATTAAATAGTATTACACATACAATATTTTAAAAATATTAATATGAATGTAAAGGAAAAAATGGAATAAAACATTAAAAAATAATGAGTTTATATTGATTTGAAAAAAAAAAAAAAAATTACATTAAGTAAAAATCAATTTTCCACCTTTTCTTTTAAGAAATAACAATCTTGCTTTTTAGCCACAAAGTAAAAAATATCATACATTAAAAACAACAGTTAATACAATATAAAAGAATAATAAAATGGAGAAATATAAAATACTTGACATTAGCAATTCAGTTTTAATGGTAACAGTCACATCATTTAAATCAGCTAAAAAATAATGGCTGAATGACTAAAATACTACCTACAGAAGTTTTAATAGTTAAAAACTGCATAAAATATCATTTAAATTCAATATATTAATTACTTTTCAAAAGCAACATCTGCCACTTTAATTTCAAGAATTAGAAATTCAAGACAATTAACAGGAATTTACCATGATTAAAGTACATGAACATTCATATGCTGAGTTATGATGTACTAGTTTTGGTAGTGATGTAGAATCCAAGCAGTTTTTATTTCAGTTGCATGATACTAAAACTTTAAAAAAAGATAATGCAAATCTTAGAAAATCAATTATATTGACTAATTGGAGGGTGTATCATATCATATAATGCATATTTTATGAAGTGACTATACTGCTTTAGTGTACTCAAAAAAGGGGGAAGGCGTTCTATTTCTCTTATTTTAACTGACTATTCAAGAAAATTCAAATTGCATTTTTCATACTTCAAAATAATTTTTTGTATTTCACATAAGTCGAACTTTCTAATCATTTTCACACGATGAAATGAAGTATAACAATGATGCAGTCATCATTAATTTTATATGAAAATAAGTCCTGAGTATTTTGAAAGCCTTATAAAATGGAAGCAAGAATAATTAAATAAAAAAATGAACATAAATAAAGTATATAGCCAAGGCTGGAATAACCTATATTGAGGTCTCAGACATTTTGTTTTGTCTGGTCCCCCACAAGAAGTAGCCCCGCCCCCAAAAAAATTAGAAAATGAAATAAATAAGTGAATAAATAAATGTTACTGGGTTAATTAAAAAACTAATGCTTGCTAATTTTCATTAAAATATTTTTCAACATAAAACAGAACCTTTTAGTTTCTATTTCAAGAAAAATTAAAATACATAATCTTTTCGTCTCCTGAACATCTAATGTCATGTTGGAAGATCCACTCTGGAAGTTGATTCAAAGAACCGATTCACTTTACTGATTGAATAAACTCCGATTCCAGAAAAGAGATGTAACTGTTTCACAGTTCATGGACAGCTCTCATCGAAAGTGTGTCAGAATAGTAATGTGCTATTTGTTCATGAACTAATTCATTTTACTGAATGAACAAACGTCTAACTGGCACAGAAAGAGCGGAAGGAATTGCTCTTTCTCTGTCAATCAGAAGTGCCACAACTTCGCATTTTGAGGAAGAAAAGTATGTTTACCCTTCCATTAAAAGTGACTTTAATTTTCATCATTTCACAACTTTCTGAAAAATGTTTATTCCAAAATTTTATAGTTCTGTGTACAAAGAAGGTTTTAAGGATTTTCAAAAACTACAGTTGAAAGAAATCAGTTAAAAGTTTGATTGATTCAATTAATGCTCAAAGAGTTAGAGTTCCGCTGAGTGAATTTCTCTAATACTACAACTTGCTCAATTATTTTAGCCCACTTCGGTAACTGGTCCCGATCCCACCATTCATTCGATACTTTCTATTCTCTGCTCCACCCCCCAACCACTCATGATTCACCCAGTGCTCTGTATCTTTTTCATCAAGATTACTGTTATTGTTAGTAAGTGGTGAGTCATAAACAATAACCAGTTCATTTCAAAGAGAGAACAATTCTGATTAGAACCCATATATGAGCAGTTCTGCCCATCTCTAGTGTCATAAAGCTCAACTGAAAGAAAGGAGCAAAGGCTGGATTTCATTTTCAGAATTCATTACAACATACATTTCACATTTTTTCTAACATGAGTCGATATAAAATAGTAATTACTCCTATTTTTACAGAATTTACAACATATATTTATATAAAATAGGTCAAAATACATAATATATTAAATTAACTACTAGATTCCTAATACGTGCTACATACCAGAAGATGAGCTAGGAGGAGATAATGGCTGATCTGATACATCATCAGTAACTGGGCTGCTACAGTGGGGATCATCATCATTCTGCAAGGCATGACATCTGGGGTCATCATCATGCAGTGGATTGCAGCGTGAATCTTCATCTTGGATGGGATGACATCTAGGATCATCATCTTGCATAGAATGACATCTAGGATCCTCATCTTGAATTGAATGGCAATGTGGATCATCATCTTGCATAGCATCATTTGACTTAGGTGACTGAGGTGATGGGGGTGTAGGCACAGAATTTAAATCTGTAATAAAAATAATAAATAAAAAAATCTGATGTGGACACCACAACTTTCTTGACATCTTTTAAAATTATACATATTTTTTTATGCACTTTAAACTCATTTCCTTGAATTATTCCAACTTAATAAACCAATCCCTCGAAACAATGTTGAAAATGAAAAAAAATTCCAAATTGTGAAATTAAATTCTGGTCAATTTTTATTGTATGGGACTCGAATGTTTTCTATTTTTATTTTTTCATAACCAGCATAAAACTTTAACAAATAAAAGTATAGAAACTCAGAAACTGCATAAAAAGAAAGTGCACAACTAGTTATAACAATCTTATATACAAAAATTTAAACATTCCATAGGTAATCATTTTTGAGCTATGCAAGATACATATGTACATACAGACATCCTCCCCCCCCCATTAAAAAAAACACACCTTCTGAATACATTTCACAATTCATTTTGGAACAAGCAGTCTTTTGTTCTGCCCATACATACAGACATCACACAAAAAAATTTTTCAAATGGATATTTCTGTAGAAATATGATACCTCAAATTTTTTGTGATTACAATACTTCCTTTACTTTGTACAAGGAAGTAAAAAAGATACAAAATGATAAAGAACTTCAAACACACTGAAGAAGAGAAGTACAGTTTTATTCAATTTTACCTGGAGCTGAAAAAAATGATAAAAGAACCGCATATTTTGAATTAAAATATTTTAAAAACGTATGATTCTAAATAAAAACTTAATTCAAGGTAATGCATACAGAACTGGAAGTAAATTGCATGCAACACATATTTACCTGAGGCTTTAATAATTGCAACAGGTCTAGCAACAGGTGCTGGAGGAGGAGGAGGCAGCATAGAACTTGCATAAAAATGAGCCATTTTTGTTGGACTACGAACCTCTGATTCCGTACTAGACTAAAGAAGAATTGAAATTATTATTTTATACCATAATATGGATACAGTTAAACCCAACAGGAAACCATGTTTGGTTTTTTATTTTTTTAAACCAATTTTCTATCACTTTATGTTATTTTATTTCACTACAGTGAACTTCCAACTGTATAAAAATTGGATGTAATTACTTTGCAATTTTTGACAGAAATACTTCGTATTTTTCGATTTATTTTCAAAATTTCTGGAATTTTTAAATTAAAATTACAAACCCATAAATTTATCCTGTTTAGGCTATAGCTATCTGACAAGCACTGTTTAAGGCTAATGCTTATTCATAATTATTAAATGTACATTTTAGATTAAAATGCACCAATTCCCATTTTTGTCACTATCTGAGTAACTCTAACACATCAATTTTCCTTCACAAGTTTCTAGAGTCTCACATGCAATTCTTTGATGGTAATGTGCATACTCCAGTCTTATCTTCAACTGATACCTAAATGAGCCTTGCCTGAACATGGCTTCTCACCTCTTGATAAGATCAAAAGAAAGTGCAGTATGATCAATGATTACAACAGTATGATCAATGATTACAACAGTATGTTCATGAATATCTACCAGTGTTACACTCTTAGGCATTTTTTTAAATATTAAAGGCAAGTACCTTTCAAAGACTAAGGGGGGGGGGGAATCAGCACCTTCTGCATTTGTTTCTTTAAAAGAATGATAAATTCATTCTACTGCTTTTTTCTCTCTACAGGTATTATACCACAGCATTTCATCAATGCCCTTCAGAAATAAATAATCAATGAGCTTTATTTCTTATACCTTGAAAGAAGAACAAGTGATCTGCATAACTGATGTTTAAAAAACAACAATGAATAATTAATGGCTTTTCAAATATGAGCATGTATCTCTCAATGCAAAATATATATTCCATGAGCTACCAATTTTGCTTAAGAGTTAAATATTTATGATTTAATATTTCAGAATACAGAGATGATTTGGAACACATTTCTATATTTTTAAAAACATACACAAAATGATTAACAGTTTTATATAATAGGTTCCACTTAAAGTGACACATTTGTCCATGGCTATTTTCATAACATTAAATGATGAGAAATATATCACTCAAATTAGCAATAGAATTTAACTAATTTAATATAACTACAAGTAAACATATAAATACTTACCTTGATAGCATTTTCATACACACGAAAAAGATGTTACGTGTGGATTGTTTGCAAATGTTCATTCTAATGTATGTGGAAATTTTTTGTCTCATGCTATACCTCTAATTTTAACATTTAGAAGTATCCCTTATATCACTATTTATAAAGAATTCACTGATTTCATGTTTATGTTCTTCAGAAATTTAATTCTGTAGTGAATTCAGATTTATTTCAGAAAGCTACTGGCAGATATTTTCAGCCATCTTCTTTTATCTGAAGAAGAGAGATCTGTATCTGATCACTCGCAAAATCAATAGGGTTATTCAAGATCTGTCCAAGACTAAACAAAAGATTACTTTATTGCCTAATTTTGAACAGTTTAAAAGAAAAACCAACCAGTTTGGTGACTTAATCCCTCACTTTGTTGTGACATTTTTTGGTAACTTAACAATAAAAAAAAATATTTTAACATTATTTGGAGAAGTTATTTCAGTTTGAAAAATTCCTCCTATAATATTTTGATAACATTAACCAATCTGTTGATCACAATATGCGATTATCTATGTTTTCGTATACAAATGGGTGAGACTACGGTAATTTGATAACGTATCTGAATGATAATATTAACCACAATTACATTAAGTGGCACCTATGGTAATATGCAATTATTTAGGTTAAAAGCATATGCAATCAGAAACAATACACATAACTAATTTCCTCTTACTTGTGAACTTGTACTAGAATTGTGAGCTTCTTGACAAACAAGGTTTACAAAGTCTGAAAGTGTATCTCCATTTTCTTGGTATTTTCCAGGTGTTACTAAATAGTAAGGGCCTGAAGTTTGCAAAGGCACAACTAAGGTGGTTGTGGGTGGACTTAAATTTGTTGCTTGGCTCAAAGCTGTAGAATATACATGTATTTATATACACAGAATCAGACAGACAGTAAAACTTTTATTAAAGTTATACATATGCAATATATAAAAGATTATTTTTAGGGAAATGTGAAATATAGAAAAGAAAAACAATCAACAAAATATAGATAAAATTTATAAAATATACAAAGATTGAAATAGTAAATTAATATATCACCCCTTCAAAACTTTTACATATAATCATCTGCATTAGTTGGAAATAGTAATATAAGAAACAAATGCAGATTGCATCCCAAAACAAAAAACTACTAGCACAACCAAATTATAAAAGAAAGGAAAAAAAAAAATTTATACATGAAATTTTAAAAATAAACTATGCTTCTAATACCATTTTCCTTCTAGAAATCCTCATGCCACTACTATTTTGATACCAAAAATACTAAAAATTAATCAAGTTAACCATTTGGAGTCACTAACCACATTTTAATTTTTAATAACAACAAGAACTAATTTAATGTTTTTGGCTATTTTATCATACTAATAGAATTTGCTATAAGAATAACATGGAAGCTTAAGTAACTCCTGAATCTAGTTTTATGATTCAAACATAAAATATAAAAAGCAAATTCTTGCAAAAAGTCAACAAATTACCAATGATAAAAATAAACCTCATCACAAAAAATATGAGAAATGTTATACATAAAGAGAAAAATAAACCTCATATGCAATTCTTTAATCAAAGACTAGAATTTTGAAAAATGAACAAACCCGATGATAAAATTTAGTGAAATTCCAGTAGCACAGATTGTAAGCAATATAGTACTAACTTTACTGATACAGGATAAAAAGTAATTGATACTGTTTTAATCTCGAATATTTACAGTCAAACATTAAAAAAAAATTTACAGTCTAATCTAAATTTAATCAATGTCTAACTCTAATCCAAATTTACAGCATTCATAGTGGCACAGAATATTAAGTTGTATGGTACCATGACATAGAATAAAAAATAATAGACATTGTTTCAATAGCTATTCAAAATCAGCCTTACAAATAATTATTAGTTTCAGCACTTCCGGTTTCAGGAAGACATGGTTAAAAAATATGTGACAAGAAGTATTTTTATGGCATAGTGCTCTGAATGCTAGACTGATTCAAATAAACAAATTTTCTCTTTGGGGCTTTTTAAGAATCTCAAGGTGTTATCATTGATTCACATTTCCTCCCTGAGGTAACAATTCCATCTAAAAAATCCTCAAACAGTTGATCAAGAAAATCAACAACTTTCATTTTGGATTTCTCACCCTTTCTTAATTTGGACATGCCAACTGCTTGCACATGACTTCTGACTTTGACACCTTGTTTTTACATTATTAGAAAATCCAAGATTTATCACTTTCTTGAGAAAATATCTGCCCCTTTGGATGCATTTCAGATGATCTGAACAATTCTTTATTTTGCTCAAATTGAGTTTTTTTTTTTTTTTAAACCACAGTTGGCATCTTGTTTCCATAATATATTAGGAAACCCACAATTTATTATTATTTTTTTTTTTTTAGAAAATTTCTGCTATTTTGGATGCATTTCAGACGATCCAAATATGCATTTTTCAGTTCTTTCTTTTGCTCTAATCTTTTTTTGGGGGGCAGGAACTAGTATATTACACACGTGTCCAATTCTTGGGGTAAAATTTCACTCTTGGAAAAATGATTCAATTTAAAACTCGCTGCTTATCATTTTCCAAGCCTGTTAATAATCTTTCTCTCTCGAGCAAGTCGAAGGATCAAAGGAAGAGGATTCAGAGTTGCAAATGGTCAACTGTAGAGTAAAGGAAAAGGATGCAATAATGCAAATGACAATGGCATTCAAGTGCAGATCAAAAGAGGATGCAATAATTTAAATGGAACAGCACTCAACTATGGATGAAAGGAATATCATACTATAAAGGAATGAGTCACGGTATATAATCTGGCAAATATACCTGAACGTACAGAAGCTTTACAAATGATACTGTGCTATGGCAACAGCAAAATTTGGAGGAGACAAGTAATGATTTGACCATCATTTAAATCAAAGGCTGATTTCTCTGGTTTAAACTTTAATCCCTGCAGACTTTGGATCTAAACCTTTTTAAGCCTTTAACAAGATATTATAATAAATAATGTGCTGCTTGAATAATAGCAATGTTTGGAATGGGCCTCCAAATACTGACATTTTTTCATTTCAAAGCAGCACAAGTTTTGATTAAAAAAAAAAAAAGGAACATGACAGCTTACTTCCTTACGAGATGCAAAGTCAGAAACTTAATTTATGACCTTTCAAATATTATGACCTCAGACTATCTTCCAAATGAGCTGGAGAATAAGTTAGAAAGCAAACATATGTTTAATACAACATACAGAGGATAACAGGTGCAATAACAGAAAAGGTGGTTTAATCTCCTATTAAATCTGTTACTGCAGCCTTAGAAATTATGAGTGTCAAGTAGTTCGATAATTTTAGTTACATACAAAACACACAAATTTAATGGAAATTAGAAAAAATCATAAAAATATCCTGAGTAAAATGGGAAAAAAAAAAAAAGAATTCATTTTTGCTTTTTAATGTTACATCCATTTATACAGAAGTGAAGACTGACAATATGATCTGTAAAAAATTACACAGTAAACTATTCCAGTTTAAATTTGTTCTGATCACACTCATTTTAAAGGAAGTCTTTATGGAATGAATGTTGTTTGGGTGTTATGAACTTGTAAATGCCAAATGAGTGGAAGATGAATGCTATCTGAAAATTTCTAATGGTCTAAGATATTTTGATATTTTGAAGATCTTCAAAATTTGCTATCAAACTTTCAAAAACTTAACACTTAAAAATTTTAAAAAATGAAAAAACTATAAAATTTTACAAACTGCAATTAATCTTCATATGCCGATTGCAATTTAATAACTAAAACTATTTCAAGCTAAACAATTAATGACTAGTATAAGTCATCATAAGCTAAATGATGAGTTTATTAGTTCAAAAATTAGTCTCCTGGGAGTTTAAAAGATAGAACATAAAATCACAAACATATTTTAACATACTTAAACGCAGGAATGCCGAATTATATGAAAATAAAACTTGCTATGATATTATTTCATCTAAATTTATCACTATATAAAAACTCATTACTTACTTAAAAAAAAGGGGGGGTATTCATGAAATAGTCTGTATTTATTTTATTGGATCACCTGCACATAAAATATGGAACATTCTCCTCACATGGTAATACTATTTTATTGGAACATGAAATCCATGAAATAATTAATAAAAACCATCATGAGGTTTCTTGACAGGAGGGTTAAAAAAATCAACATAAACAGTCACTCAGAATGCAATAAATATCATTACCCAAATAAATGTTTTAAAAGAATTCAGAATTCTTCATAGTTAATTGCATACAATGCCAAATAATAATTACCATAAAATAACAAAAAATCTAGGCTTGTCTAATAGAAGATTTTAGTAAAATATCCCAACATTAGTATTTTCAGTTCATAAAACAAGACTGCCATAAAAGAAAAAATATGCAGATATACAAACACAAAAACACAGCACATGGAAAAAGATTGTAATTACCATCCCTGCTCCTTGGAGAGACCACAGACTGTGACGAAGGAGAGATGTTTGGCGAAGTAGAGAGAATGACTTCTACTGGAGCAGGTGATAAAGGTGCAGCAGCATTAACAGGAATAAAGCTACTTGAACCTTCTGTTTTTATGACTCCAGTGCGGCCTGCTAAAGCACCTTGCAAAACAGCAGCATTCCTTACTATATTGAAAGAGACATTTTCAAGAAAGTTCAAATTTTTTTCCCAAGATTTAGAAAAGTATAAATAATTTATAACAATAAAAAAATCCAAGTGTAATATGATTTATTTTAAGGTAAAAAGTAATATATATATATATATATGTATAAATCGACTGATTAAAAAAAAGATCCTACTGAAATAATATAAAATTGAATTATTAAACAGCTAAATATGGACACTTGACAACTTTTCAAGATTAATTTAGAAATCAAACAACAAAAATCAGTGTTGTTGTTTGAGTTCTAAATTAATATTTCTTCGGCATGTTATTGCATCTTAACTTTTCAACATTTTATTAAATGTTAAAAATTTTTCTCCTAATTTCATTAAACAGTTAGTTTACTTACAAAACTATCACAACCCTTACACAATTTTTAGAAGAGGCTCAGTGTGAATAATGCAATTAATAATAATTTTGGAGAACTTAATAATAAAAGCAGTCAACAGATATTTAATTTCATATTTTCCCAGAAGAAACATATTAGCATAAGCCTGGGAACTTAGATGCATCTTAAAAATTTAGTTATCTGTAATATACATAGTTTACAAAATTTTACACTTAAAAATGTTGTAATAGGAAAGCAGAGCATTTGTTTTTTGATAGAACAATCTTTTCCTCACAATAGATTACTTTTACATGGCAAAAATTCCATTTATAGGAATAACAGAGATCAAGGAATTTGTATAAATTTTCAATTCTCTTTATTCCTTCACCAATAAAAGTTGAAATTTTATAACAATCTAAAATAATTTCAAGTAACAGAAGAAAGTTGAATCATTCCACATAAACTGAGTAGTAGTTCTTGAAAATTATCAATTTAAAAATGCAAATATAATAGACATGTATTAAAACACTGCTTTTAAATAAACATACCGTGTTCTACATCACCACTCCAGGATGCAGGACTATTATTAAGACTTGAAGGGCTATGCACATAATAAGAGCCATCGGCAGCACTTTTCTCAAGCTCATCTTCATTTGATGACAATCGACGAACCCTTTTATTAAGAGGCTCACAAGGGGGACTAGATGGATTTTCATGATTTGGCGATGACGCATGATTATTTTCAGCAGGTATAGTGCCAACAACTCTAGGAATACCAATAAGTTCAGTCTGATTCCCATCAGTGGTATAATAAAAAGGAGAACAAACACGAATTACATGTTGTTGAATATTCTGTTTCCCATTAGTAGTTTCTACTTGTGCATCTTGTTGTTGCTGAACACCATTAGGAGATTGGAGAATAGAACCTAAAGAACAACAGAGTACTGAAAACAACTTAATAAGCATATCCTCATAATTAAAAATATAATTATACACACAAGCAATAAAAAGAACATGAATATTTTTAATCCCTTTAAATACTTAAAAATTTATTTACAGTCACTGAGAAACATTACCCATTACAACTGCCCTGTTTTATAACTAAGAATATTTGAAACTTATTTCAGTTTTAAAATGTTTAATCAAGAGTTGAAAATATTTAATACCAAATCAAGATTGCAGATTCTTATACATTATTATTTTTATCTGTTTTTCAAAAATACTTGTATTACACAAAATACAACCTTACACGTGTAACATTATTTTTATATTAAAAAAATAAATAAATAAATAAATAAAACAATTTATAAACACAGTTTAGTAACTAAGTCAGAAATTTTACATTACAAAAGCACTAAAAGAAGGCAGTGAATTAAGCAAATACTTAAATTCACCTTTTGAAAGTTTGTAAAGTTCTGTTGAAGTGAAAACACCAGTAGTGATGATGGTTGTGCTTTCTAAAAAATATGTAAATATAAAATGTACAAGATAAACTTAAAAACTAACATGACAGTAAAAATTAACAATAAAATACATTATACAAATATTTACCTTGATCTTCAAGTTTCTGATCACATAATTCTTCTCTTAATCCACTTAAAGCTTCTGCAACAAAAATATTCATATTTTCACAATTTGAAGAGCTTAATTTAAATATATCTCTAAAGTTAGAAGTGCAAAATTAGGCAAATAAATAAACAAATTAAATTAAAATAAAATTAAAAAAACTTAATACTAAGCATATGATTCATACACACTTGGTTGATGAATAATAAAAAATGTCAAATTACACATCACTATTTTTAATTACATGTGTTAATTTAGTGACCTCAAACTTTAACTGCATGCATGCCGTATGCAGGACTTAAAAGCAGCTGGGGGAGGCAGATTTTCCTTCTTCTTTTTCTTTTAATAAAATTTCAAATAACTAGCTAAATTTTAACTTAATTTCCAATTTCATTTACTAAATATTTAATAAAATTTACAATAATAATAATGCAAAGGAAAAAAATTCAAAGTTACTGTGCTTATTTTTTTACCTGTAACAAATTTCTGTTGGACACATTTCATAAATTCAAAAGTTAAATATTAAATTATTAAAATTTTTGGACTGACATTTATAATATTAATCATTAAATAACTTACTTTTAACATAAAATAACCAAATTTTCAGAGAAATATTTCCCAGTGGAACAAAACTTGAGAATAAATAACTATAACCACTTCTCTTTCCTTTATGTAGTGAATTTTTTATCGACATATGCAGGAAAGATACATATAACTGCATATAATCATACATTTCTCTATTTTTTACTACAGTCTGACACTTGATGGCATTTTGGGTTTGATAAATTTTGTAGCTTTAAAAAAAATTACTAATCTTCATCAAAGACTGTAGATACTCATCGGCCAATTAAGCACTTTTATTAGACTTGTTTTTCAACTGCCAAGGAAACTGTTCATGTATATAGATGTACTCCTATTGAACTTCACTACTGATATTCACTATTAAATATTTATCTTTTAGTTACCAGATCAGTATGAATAAAAGTTAATCAGATCTGTATCCTTAAATATTTGAATAAGATTTATATCAGACTGTAAATTTATTTATTTCCTTTCAGAGATTTTCTGGCACATTATTCATGTCTGCTTTTATTGGTAATGAAAGTAATTTAAATCAGACTCTAAATTATTAAATTCCTTAAATCTGCCTTCAAATTTTTGTTGTAATAATGCTTATTTTTCTAGCACATTCTTGAAATTTTTCATTTGGAATAGGGCAGGATTTAAAAACACAGAAAATGTGCAGATTTTTTTTAAAGTTGTGTTTCCTAATACTTGCAATTTACTTTTAAAAGCTTTAATGAAAGCCTACGAGTCAGTGATAAGTTTATCTTTTCTTTGCAGCTGTTCAATGACAATATTTAAACGGCCGATTACATCAACAAGAAATGCTAAATCCATGTATCATTATGTAGCTCTTTGATCTTTTTTTTTTTTTTTTTTTTTTTTTTTTCAAATTAACAAGAAATGCTAAATCTATTATCATAGCATAATTATATATAGCTCAACAGTGGTTTTATGTTTTGTGCCCTGAAAATTTTGATTGTTTTAAAATAGCTCCTAATTAACCTCCTGAACTAACCTCATCTTGTAATAAAAAAATCATTCCACAGTTACACAGTCACTTTCAGTTTCTTTAAGCAATACAACAAATTCTCGATTTAGAGCTTGTTCAAGGACACAGTTTACTCCTTTAATTATGTTTCCTCAGTCCAACATCTAAAATTTTTCTTTATGATTCGATCCATAAAGTCAATGTAAGGTGAATTCTTTTGGAATGAATACTCTCTTATTGCATATAAAATATATAATTTTACTGTACACAACATCACAGAAGTACATAATTTCCCATTTATCTTTAAAAAAAAAAAAAAAAAAAAAAAAGAAAAACCCTCTTTTTTTGTCTCTTTTCCTTTACTTTTTTATTAAAGATGTGGCTTGCAGTTTAATCTCTTCATTAAAATGCCATTTTTACGAGGTAACCAAAAAGTCCTTGCCATTTCTGATATAACATTGGAAGAGTGAACCCCAACATAAAAATAGTTGCCAAACCTGGCGATGAAGTGGTTAGGATGGTAGTCCGAACACTGACCAAGAGTATAAAAGTGCGTTGCATCGGTACTTCACACGTAATTCACACAACGACTGATTGAAATGGACTCATCAAAGGTACTCACAAGGAGTTGTTTGCTGTATGATTTTTAAGTGGGCCTGTTAGCAACAGAATCAAGTCTGTGAATTTGCCAGGCCTTTGGGGATGATGCTGTTAATGAACGAACTGCTAGGCAATGGTTCAAGAAGTTAGAGTCAGGGGATACATCTTTTAGTGATGCACCACGCAGCGGTCAGCCACAAATGCTGGACAATGAGGCTCTTAGAGCAGCCATAGAAAGTGACAGTTGCCAAACATGTGATTAGCTTGCTGCACATTTCCAGGTATCTGATGAAACAATCAGATTCCATTTACACTGCATAAGAAAGGCATACAAGCTGAGCAAGTGGGTACCCCACTCACTGTCCGATGCAAACAAAAAACACCATGTTGCTGCCTGTTCGTCATAGCTTACTCGGCACCGCAATGCATCCATACCAGCGATGAGAGGTGGGTCCAGTATGACATACTCAGGCGTTCCAGACATTGGTTGTTACCACATGACCATGTGCCTCACACTGTGAGACATTCTCTCCACCCATGCAAGACTATGCTTTGTATCTAGTGGACTAGTCACCAAGTAGTGCACTATGAGCTCCTGCCAGTGAGCCAAATCATCACGGTAGGCCTGTACTCGCAGCAGTGGAACATGTGAATCAAGCACTGATGCATAAAGAGGCAGCATTAGTCCATCGTATGAGTGTATTCCTCCATTACAATGTGAGGGCGCATGTGGCTCGGGAGGCCAGGGACACCATCCAGTGACCGAGCTGGGAAACACTACCCCATCCACCATATTCCCCAGACCTCGTGCTAACAAATACCACCTTTTCCATTCCCTGGACAACCATCTTCGTGGAATCCTTCAACTACCAGCCAGACGTCGAAAAGGTCCTCATGGACATCTTTGCGTCCAAGATTCCTGAGTTTTACCGCAATGACATTGCACAGCTGGTCACTCATTGGCAAAAGGCATTGGATGCCGATGGTGATTACTTTGACGATTAGTGGTAATTATTATTTGTTTTATGACTTTTTCCTTCTGACTGTCCAAAACGGCAAGAACTTCTTGGGTTACCTTCTTCATCTTGTAGAATTAAAGTTGTAAGACAATTACTACTTGTAATGGTTTACAACTTTAATTTAACAATTTTCATATGAAAGCTACACTCAAACATTTAGCTAAATTTCAAATAACTGGTATTGATGTAACGTAGATTTAACGACAAATACAAATTTCACAAGCCATACATTAGTTTGTCTGCATGTATTTAGCAATATGAATAGCATATATGTACACACCATTAGCTTACCAGCTAGTGAGTAAGTCAAGGAAAGTAGAAGTACTAACTCACTTGGGGGAAGGGAGAAGTACACACCAGAATATATAAAATTTTTGCCAACTGCTGGCTGGCAAAAAAATTCATATACTGTACTGAAGGCCCACCTCAGCTTAGTTATATGGCTCGCATACAAGAATACAGTCAACATGGGTTTTGCTCAAGTCATTTCACCATTACTAATTTACCTATTCCAACTCTTTACCAAAATTCAAAAAATTAATACATACATTTAACTAGATTTAGATGATTTTTTAATGTGTTTTATAAATTAAACAAAAAGTGTAGAAAATGTTAATAAATGCCAAAACTCAAATAAAAATAGTTTATATTCATAAATTAAAACTACACTCTATAACAAAAAAAATTGATGCACCAAGAAGGAATCATCCGATTGCTTTGGAATTTCGCATGCATAAATGTTCTGACCAAATATGCAAATGATTAAAATTTGGTATCCAATGAATGAATAGTGCGATCTCCAGTGCATCGGAACTACACATCCAGCAGATTTATATAAGGAGCTATTCTTGAACTGTTGTTAAAAATTTCTGTTGCATTGTGATTTAGGATACCTTTCAAGGACTGAAAAAAATGCCTGGCAGCAGGATTTGAGCTCATTATGAGAACTGTCAGAGCTTGAAAGAAGTCGTATCATTGGATTGAAAGAGGTAGGTTGGGCGAATCGGAGAATCACTCGTCATATGAGTCGAAGTGATGTGGCAATTAGAAGATACTAACAAGAATGGGTGGCTAATGGCAGATTTCAGCATCATAATGGTAGTGGTCGACCTACGGCCACAACAGATCAGGAGGATAAGAGTGATTGTCAGATCAGCTGTCCCACTGCCTGATTCATTGTTATCAACTATCAGATGTGCGACCCACACACGAGTGTTCACCATGACCATTCGCAGACGGCTGATTCAGCGAAATCTACGCTTGTAATGACCGTTACGCCACTCTCACCTGCACACTGTTGAGCTAGATTACAGTGGTCCTTGGCTCGATCAAGTCGAAATGATGCTGACTGGGGACACATAGTCTTTAATAACGAATCCCGCTTCCAACTGTGTCATGACGATTATCAAAGACATGTCTGGAGACGCCTGGAGCAGCATGCTGATCCTGCTTTCACTATTGCACGCCACACAGACCCTCAACCAGGAGTTATGGTCTGGGATGCCACTTCGCTTGACCCCTTTTGTCGTCATTAGAGGCACACACTTACAGCAGAGCGGCACTTCGATGACATTCTGAGACCTGTTTTGCTACCGCTCCGATGCATTGGACAGTGCTGTGTTACTACCGTTCCTTCCTTTGTTACCCTGGCCTATTTTTCAGCAAGATAATGCCCGAACACATACAGCACGTGCTGCTTGTCAAACACTCCTTGCTCAGCCAGATTGCCAGATCTCTCTCCATCATGCATGTCTGGAATATGATAGGAGGGCGACTGCATCTACCAGGGAATATTGATGACCTAGCCTAACAATTGGAAGAAATTTGGCAAGAAATACCGCAGGAGACTATCTGGGAGCTTTATCAGTCTATGCCATGGCAGCTGGCAGCTTGCATCCAGGCTAGAGGTGGGTTAACACCTTATTGAGCTTGTTATTTTGTAACTATGTAACTCTGAAAATAAATCATTCAAATTGTTCTGAAAATTTTAACCATTTTCCACTCTGCACGATAATCTTCCTATCTACGAAGTTTTGTCTCCACCGGACAACTTCCTTTCTTGGTGCGTCGATTTTTTATTTTTTTTTTTTATTATTATTATAGAGTGCAAATACCTTAACACCTAAATAAAAGGCTGACTGCATCCCCCTGAAACTATGAAATCCCCTCCCCAGTGGGGAATTCTCTCCTCGTCTACAATTTTTTTCATTTAACTGAGATTGCAAATCTATTCACTCTATTTCTTTTCATTCAACAGCAACCTTTCAGATAAAAACAATCTATATGTTTCTAATGTTATTTATATTTTAAATTGTCATTTCTTGAGATGCAATGATTAATGCACTTTTTCTCTTAGCTTCTTCTGTGGGTCTGTCAGAGTGCTGTTATATATGCATTACATATGAACTTCTGGCTATGTGACAGCACTAGCATCAAACTTAGCTGAAATGTAATAACTGCTGAAATGTTTGCTAGTGCTTTTACATTATCTTAAAAAAATGATATTGCACTCTACTGCCAAATTAATTTATGCTATATGAAAATATGTATTAAAACAAATATATAACTAAAATGTATTGGCAAGCCACATAAAATTACTAAGGCCACATGCCATCACTTTAACTGAGCCACACTGTCAATGAACAAAATTTATAATGACTTAAATTTATAATGACAGCAAAATAAGAAGAAAGAAATCTTACCTTGTGATAGGATGAAGTTGGCCAGATAAAGATCCAGCTCACGGACGGAGACATTGATGTGGTATGGGTTGACACATAATGCAGGGTGGAGGCACTCATGAGATTTCTCTAAACGCTCTCCGTCAGTGCTTTCTAATGGAATTGCTTTGAACAAAATTACCATTACTAAATCCAGGCGCCATACCTATTAAATAAAAAGTTGGAAAGATTTATTTCATGAAGCCTTTCAAGAATTATGCTACAACCCCATCCCCCCCAAAAAAAAAGAAAGAGAGAAGCCTTAGGTTTTAACACTGCATCAGAAGATTTGTCAAGGCTTTTTATGCTTAATGAGCATTTCAGGTTATTGAACTGCTTTTGCACTTCTGTTATACACTTTTTTTTTTTTTTTTTTTTTTTTTTGCCTTTTTAGCTTTATCATTAAGCATCTTTTCCTTCATACTTAGAGAAAATCTGAGAGCAAAATTACAAATATTTAAAAATAGCATATCTTTAATAATTTCAGATAGAATGTTAGAGTCTGCCATATATACATTTTTTTAAATATTTGCTATATTATTTCTTTGCCAACTACCCACTCAAATGGTCAGCTGCCTAAAATAGTAATAAAAAAGTCTAGAATGGTTTTTATGAGTCCAGCTAGTGTCATATCATAAAAATATTTAATATTTTTAACTAGACATCTCACAATTTAAATGCAATTTTATTTAAATCAATCAGATTATTCAATCTTTCTTTAAATATAGCACAGGGCGATAATATTTGGTAGCACCAGTTTGAAAAATGAATCGGCATTTAAAGTGAATCAACGCAAAATGCCAAAATGAATTTAATAGCCCAGCGGCATTAGTTAGTCCCATATTCAATCCTAACTAATGTTCTTTGAGCTAAAAAAAAAAAAAAAAGCTTAATATTTTTTTGTTGGTTTATTCAACATTTTTTTTTTTTTTTTTTTTTTTTTTTCAATGTAAGCTGTTTAATTTGCTCTGCTTTTATTGGGAATGCAATAGATCAGGAGACTACAAAAGAAAGGAATGTGATGTGAAATTACCAGATAAAAACGATCTAAATCCAGACTCAGCATTCAAACAGCGAATTTCAAAATGTTCACTGTTTCATAAGGGAGGAAAATTATTAATTACGGAAATTTTTTTTCTCACTTCTTAATATTTTACTAGTGATAAATTCATTTAAATTTTTAGAACATGAATAATGATTCTTAATAAAACTAAAACATCATTTTGGGTAATGCATTTTTTCAAGTTCTCTATAAAAAATATTTAAAGATGGCAATAAATGCGGAAAAATTTATGAAGGAAGAGTGATATCAATAATAATGCAAGGCAACAAAGGCAAGGCAGTTAGTTACCTGTCGCCTAGAAAAGACATTGGAAGAGAAGCAAATGCCTATATGCAACTGTTGAAAAACTGTTGTACAATACAAAGTCTTTAATTCGGACTCGTCGGGGCACTTCAGCTATTCCGGATTAGGGGTTTTTCCGGATTATAGATCATCAATTTAAATCTGGTAAGATGGCATGCAGAAATTTTAAAATTAAAAATATTAAACCGTAATTTATGAAATAAAGACTAATAATTATGATCTAAAGGGTATCAACCATTTACAAAAAAAAAAAAAAAAAAATGTATATATATAAAACAAATTTAAATTTGTTTAAATTTAAATTTCATTCCTTGCAGCAATGGTGCAAAGATTATTTAACTAAATTGTATTTAAATTAAATTTAATTAAATTCAATTTATTCTTATGAAACATATATATATATAATATATATATATATTTGTTTACTTTATTAGACATTTCTTTCAATGTAAGTTGTTTTATTTTATGTGCTAATACTTTCTCTTTAATTCTATAAACAGACATAATTTCTTGTTCAGTTACAAAGTTCCGCTGTTCAAGTCCTGTAATTGCTGTGCCGAGAATACCGACTAACTTGTCAATCGAAATTTTTTCGTTTTCACTATTCATTCTGTCACTTTCTTCATGCCTTTATCCATTTTTTGCAGCAATTCCACTTTTTGTTTGATGGACATTGAAACATGCTTTCACTTTGTAGATCCTTTGGCAGTTCCAGAATCCGAAACTCTTTTTGACATAATCGAAAGTTCAAGCTTACTTTTTATAAAATTGCTCTAACAGTCTGCAAAAAATAATAAGCCGGATCCGATTAGAAGATTAAGGAACTACGCAATCTGCAACATTAACTGAAATAGATAATTAGATAATTTTAGCCTACCTTATACCGTTTGTTATACATTAAATGTGCATGGGTAAACGTATTATGTGAATGCGTAAATGTTACGCATGCGCAGAAAGTTTGTAGCTTTGAGGTTTGGATTATAGATCATTCCGGATTATGAACGTTCGGATTAAAGACTTTGCACTGTAATTATTTTTGTTGCATTTTAGATTACACTACGAGCCCAATACAAGCAAAGAAAGACAGCTCAGACAGAACAAATTTCAGACCTCTGTGACAAAACAAATTTCAGACCTCTATCAGAATAGTGTTATTATACATACACACAAAACTGAACATTATGCATCATTCATTTAATCGACTGATCAATTTTAAGATGTTTCATTATAATAACTTGACTTTTAAAATAAGAATTTCTAAAAATCTCCTCCAATTGACAGTAAGGGAACATTTTGAAGAAAAGTGAGCAATTTTTCAGAAACCAAAAACTTTGTATCTGTACTTATATCTAGACACCATGTTTCAAGATCATTACTATAAATGAAAAGATGCATTATCAATAGAAATGTTAAGGTTTCTGTCTATGAAATTCATTTTGACTAAATACAATATGATGCAACAACGTATGTCAGTAAGTAGCATATCTTTGTTTTGTTTATTTGATAGATTATAGCAAAGCACGAGAGAATCATCTCCTTAAGGAGGAAAATGCCTTCATGGAAGACTTTTTAAGGGTTTGTATTCATATTACACATGGTGAAAAATACGAGGGTTGGAACTTTAATAGTGGCAACTATTTATTTAGAAGGAATTCAAAAGTGATTCATGTCACCATGTTTTACAGTCCTTCAATATAATCGCCAGCATTGTGTACAACCCATTTCCAACGATGTAGAAGTCGCATAATACCTGTAGCAGCACCTGTTTTGTTGATAGTTTGAATGGACCGGTCTACTGCCGCAAGAATCTCCGGAACAGTTTGGAAGTGAATGCCTTGAAGTGGTTCCTTCATCTTAGGAATTAAGTCATAGTCACAAGGGCTTAGATCTGGGGAGTATGGTGGATGGTAAAGCACTTCCCAGCCCCATCGCTTGAACAAATCAGTCACAGTTTGCGCTGCATGCGTCCAAGCATTGTCATGCAAAATGAGAGGAGCGTTCTGCAGAAAGTGTCGCTGTTTTTTTCTCAAAGCTGGTCGGAGATTGTGCTCCAAAAATGAGCAGTAATACTGCGCAGTGACGGTCTGCTGTGGGGGAACAGTACGCGTTAGGATGACACCATCACAGTCGTACATGAGAATCACCATAACTTTCACATTGCTGGGGTTCTGACGAAATTTCGAACGTAGTGGTGAACCGTGATGACGCCATTCGTTTGATTGGTGTTTCATTTCTGGCTGGTACGATCGGGCTCAAATCTCATCCAGCGTAATGATACGGCGTAAAAAAGCATCTCCTTTGCGCTCAAAGCGCTCCACGTGGGTTCGGGCAGCATCGTATCGTAGCCATTTCTGCATTTCCGTCAATTGATGTGGAACCGTGAAGCAATTTTTCTCATGGACAGGCGTTCCTTCAGAATGTGCTGCACAGTCGTATGTGCTAATCCTGTTTGTCCGGCCAGCTGACGAATCACTTGGAGACGATCCCTGTCCATTAGTGCGGCAACAGCTTGCACGTCTGCATCGCTGACACGCAGACAACCTGGCCGCACCATGTCTGCCACATTTTGGCTCCTTCATTGAATGCTTTCACCCATCTTGCTACGGTTCTGTAGGGCAATGCAGATTCCCTGCAAGCCTCTTGAAGCCCTTGATGACACTGTAGTGCTGTACAATACAAGGATCCATTCTTCGCGTCACTCCGCATGCGCGTGACGTAGGCAGGACGAGTCTTTATCCTGAGAGGTAAGGTAGGTATGTAGTTCACGTACGGTATTAACGATATTCTTTAGTTTTATTGCGTAGCGTTTTTTCAGCTGTGTTGCCACTATTAAAGTTCCAACTCGTATGAAATTGAGCATGTAGCCAGCTTGTTAACAGAGATTCAAACCTGACTTGCATGTTCCCTGGATGGTGCAATATATCATTTACAAAACAAATGCTATTCCTTGCATTGGAGATATTCACTAACTGCATCCAGCAAACAATCCTACATATTAAATCCAACGTAAATTATACAAATCATTGCAATGTGACTAGTCAGTCATATGAGTCAGAAACAGTAATTAATTATTAAATATTCTCCATTTGTATAAAGCAAATAAAATTTAATTAAGAAATTTTAAACGCAAAGAAATAAAAATAAAAATAATTATTATTGCTGTAAACTGTTTTCTACTCTTAATTCCTTTTAAATCTAGTCACTTGTTTTTTCTCAAAATTACACTGTTTAAATTTCTTTTTTTAATAATTCACAACATTTGGTTTTACTTTTGGTTTTGAATTTTACTTTTACCCTTGCTTACATGGATGACGAAACACGAACTGAGTAATTGAAGAGTTAGGTTTGGGGACAACTTCCCCTTGAAAAGTCTGCCTGCTCAAGAATTATTCACTTATGCATTTTTTTTAATAATAATTTTTTTTTTTTTTTTGGTAATTATGTACTTTTTTATGGTTTTAGATATGTGCAATTTATTTACATATGTTCTTAGAATTTAAATGAAATTATAAATTAGTTCGCAGCAATAATACTTATTTTTATTTCTTCGCAATTAAAATTTCTTAACTGAATTTTATTTGCTTTATATGAATACAGAATATTTGTTAAATTCAAATTTCATTCCTTGCAGCAATGGTGCAAGAGAATTATTTAATTTAATTGCATATATTAGTAAAAAATGTATAATTTTCTTTCCGAGATGTTTTAGATAACTGTATATTAAAAGACAAATGATTAGAAATATTTTACTTTGTCAGCTTGTCTCAGACAATCAATGCGCCTCATTTTCCCTTTCTGATCAGGGTTGCTAAGAACACATCCTGTTGTTTTTTTTCCAGTAATGCCTAAAACAAAGCTTTCGCGACATTCTTGGGTGATATCCTTTCTTAACTTTCCCAAAAGTCTGGATGCCCATTTCTGCTTTATTTCCACACGTTCATTCTAAAAATTATTAACAAATTAAATTTAGTAATTGTGTAATTTTTTCATCAAAATGCATAAAAAATGTAATAAAAAATTAAGGAAATACTCTAATGATTACAATGTTACAATTGTAGTTTAGTAAAAAAATGATGAAAATTAGAATGAGAATTTCAATAAAAATGTTGTTCAATTAAGCACTGAAATATTTTGCAAATGGCATGTTACTTAAAAAGAGGTAAAAGCAAAAACATTATTTCAAAAACTTCAGCAAATGTCACTTATAATCTCTTTTACCTGTAGTTCTTCACGACATACTCTCTCCTCTTCAATATTCATACGCTTGTCATGTTTTTTGAAATACTTTCGCTTCACAGCCTGAAGATTGAACCATGTGTAAGAGAATGATCTCACATGAGGCAACAAAGCCTCGATGAATGGATGAAATTCATCCTATTAGAAATAATTCACTTTAAAACAACCTTAAAAACATAAAAAATTATAAATCCAGCATATGCAAACTAAAAGGGGGAAAAATTAACTTCAGATATATTACAATAAATGCAGAAATATTAATACTGCTTAAAACCTTCATACTTGTGTCAAGCAGGTTATTCCCAGAATAGAAGGGAGAGGAACATATTAACATTCTAAAATATCCAAAAATGAAGTTTTTTGACCCATAAATACCATTGGTAAAATCTATTTTTTGCATATGAAAAAAAATTTCTGTTAAATTTATCCTCGTCAACAGACTCAACACTTCACAGCAGAATTAGCTGTAATCTGTAATCATTGACAGGTACAATGTCAACATAAGTTACCATTGTTTTTGTTATTCAATTACTAATATATATTTATAAAAATGTTTAGACATTGCTGAATGAGTCATTTTGTAAACTGCAGTATTCTGATACCTTAACCTATGATATCATTACAATACAGTAACATGACTACAAATAACTGATTCACATTACACTAGAGTTGACATATTTTGAAAAAAATCCCCCAAATATATCAAAAAACACTAAATTCTTCTCCATTACCATACCAATCAAGCATTTAAATTATGTATAAGTTTGTTAGTTTCGCTTCTGTTAGACATTTTGCCCCAAAAAGTGACTGCTTCAATTTACTAGTGGCCCACATGCAACCAACTGCATAAGAAGTTATTTATCTTCTCAAACACAAAGGAAATTATGTTGTTCATAAATGCAATTAATTTGTACGCAACATTACAGAAAGTTGATAAATATTTCCTGTTGCAAATATTAATGACCGTCTATAAACACGCATTATTTCAGAACAAATAAAGATCATAATTGTTTAATCAAAATTACATCACACTTACACATTTAACTTCTGTTAATGTATGATAAAATCTTACTTACCAGAGGCATAAAATCTGTAATTATTTTCCAGGAACAAAAACTGAATTCTGTTCAACAAATGGAATGCAAGCCTTTGCAAAAATAAAATTTATTAAAAATTATGCTTTTATATAAAAAATATTTTAAAAACATTCTTTTTAATATATTTTTAAAAGAAGCTTAAAAATGCAACAATTAGGCTATAAATTAGGGATAATTAGTATAAATGTTATTAATGACTCTAATACTGGAAGTTAACAAATATGAAGAAAATATTTGCAATAAACATCGCATTTAATATTATGGCATCAGGATAGAAATCTATAATCCATTAAAAGGGGTTCTGTTACCACAACTAAATAGCAGTTTCTAACAATTTAGATACAAAAAGTTTACAAAAAATCAGCATATTAAACTAAGAAGTTGCAATTATTAGTTATATATGAAACTTTCACGAAAACTAAAAAATTACGAGCATTATATTGCAAAAATTACTATATAACCCTACGTAATGCAAAAAATAAATACCAGTAAGCGATAACGAATGTCTTCACATGACAGACAGAATGAGAAACGGAAATACTGACAAGCATTTAAACACCGCTCCTACATATTGCCAAGGACATTTAAATGTTTCTTGATTTATAGAACAGGAAAATAATACATTAACTCGTCTTGCAAAAGTTCTGATGAACTTATAACCACATTTTAAGCCTATAACTGATTTCCATTAAAGAAACAAAAACTTACCATTTTTATTTTTATGTGATGTAACTTTTACTGAAAATGAAAGAAAAAACACCATGGGAAAAATCAAATTTTATAACTTATCCAATACACTTTAAAAGAATCTATAGAAAATGCAACATTTTATTACCGTTACTATTTAGTGCGTATTGCAGTGTTTTGATCATGTTACATCTGTTGTTATTAATGCGCATGACTGATATTGTAAACAAGAGTGTAAACAATAGAAATGCCATTCACACCTATCAACAGAGTGTGAGTCAACGTTTGTCCTCTTGCCGCAGTAGTGTGCTGGGATCGTTTATTTTTGATAACTGTAAATTAAATTTTATGTTTAATTGGCTTATTTCTTTTAAAAATAAAAATATCTATATTTCTTGTTATATGCGAAGAAGAATTGTCATAATGTTTCTATATATACATTTTTGTTTAATTTCATAATAAAAGTTTTGCAATTATTATTATTATTATATCACATATGGTTGCGTTTCTCTTTCCCGAAATTGTGATAAATTCTTATGATTATTGCCTGAAATTCATCTTCCGAATTATCGTACTTATATATTCTGACTACAAAAACACATCGCGTAGCGCTTTCGAATACCATGCCCGAGATATAATTCGCATAAATAGCTTCTTAAATATTCGTAATGCCAATTCCAGACATAACCCTGGCCACATGTACGAAAATAACATCTTCTGTTAACATCAAAAACAGAAAAACCGCCTTACCTAACCGAATAAATAGCAAAACTTTGAAGTATCGTTCTCCGAATACCATCACCAACATTGACAAAATCTTAAATTCCTGCTTGCAGCTCAGTTACTTCCCTCAAAGATGGAAAACTGCCACAATAACATTTTCCAGAACCCAACAAAAATCATACTCTTCCGCAGAACTATACGCCCAACAGCTTACTGAGCTCCTTACTTACTTTCAAAGACTGATGAAAGAGTCATCCTAAATCTGCTACTTTATCACTGCAATATTACCAAAAACGTTCCTCCTGAACAATTTGGATTCTGAGCAAGTCACAATACCACACACCAACTTCTCAGAGTTATAAAAACAGCAACAGAGAAGTTCAAGAGCAAATTACTCAGCGGCGCTGTCTTTTTAAACATCGCTAAAGGATTTGTCAGAGTGTGTTCCAACCTTTTGCTGTATAAGTTCATTTAACTCAAACTGCATGATTATATAATTATCAGTTCCTTTATTCAAGACCGTTAAATTTGTGTACAAATAAACTCGAAACTTTCTATTATTCACAATATCAGTGGAGTTCCCACAAGGCTTCTAGGCTCTATTCTTTTTAACATCTACATTCAGTACATCTCGTGTTATCCCAAAATCCAACTGGCGCTTTTTGCTGATGATACCTCTATACTTATGCAAGTTATGAACTTCAAAATAATATGGAGTACAGATCTTGAGAACAACTCAACGCTCACGAATTTGAAAGAGTTGAAATTCTTGAAAGTAGCGAAACGGAACTCATTTAGGCGAGTTGTAAAGAATTCGACTCGTATTCAGATCCAGGTTTGTGTCCCGCTCGTGGGATGCAGCACTTTTCAGTGTTAAGAGATGGCGACACGAGCAAGTAACTGTCGAGGCTTCACGAACCACATGATCGCTACATTGTGGACCCGGAGAACTACAGAAGCCTCTCTCTCCTGAGGACATATGACGAACCACGTCAGACCCTCCAACCTCCAAACTAACGGCGACACATATGCCAACAGAACGGGGGTTCTTAATCATCTCCACCAGCCATCAGTGGATCCAACTGCGCACGCCCATTCATCGCAGTCACCGCCCATCAAGCACAACACTGAATCAGATCAAACCACTGGGCTCGCGGTCACGCTCACAAACTGAACGTCTTCTCATATCGCATCATAGATGCTTGGAATGGCAGGGTGTAGCGATCTCGAGAACAACTCAACGCTCTTAAATTTGAAAAAGTTGAAATTCTTGAACCTAGCGCGATGTAGCTCTTTTGGGCTGGTGGTAAAGAACTCGACTCGTAACAGACCCAGGTTTGGGTCTCGCTCATGCGATGCAGCACTTCTCACTAGTATTAATAGATGGAACCACGTGATCGCTACAACGGGAACAACTTCAGAGTAATCCGGTCCTCCCTGAACAATGGTATATCTTGGTAAACACGTAGAAGTCTCCTGTCATCAGCTTTCAAAAGGAAATTCAAATAAACCTGTGCTCGATCCCTGAATATTTGACCTATCAGTTGCTTAGGAAAGCAGGACTACTTACCTTGGAATTGTTCTACATTCCACAGTTACCTTAAGCTATAGCATATAAAAAGTTACAGAAGACTACAATTATATTTTCTTGCAATACTCGTCGTCCCCATCGACGCCACAGCGAACTTTCTAACAAATTAGTACTTAGATCTGGTTTACCTTATGGGAGAACAGATATGAGTACTGATTATTCTCGATATGGACCATGCGACGAAAACTCGCGTACACAAAACACTTGTCATTCAGAACAAGATGTTTCGAAAAATTACAAATGCCCCTTGATACATCATATGAAATGACTGTCATAAAGAGTTGAAAATCGAATACATAAATGATTACATCAGGAATAATGCAATCAAATTTTATCTTTTTGTCATACATTATCAAAACTCCCTCATTTCTATTCCAAAGAATGCACTCTTTTCTATAGAGAGGTATGCAAACCTGGCTAACACCATTCTTTTGCCACAAATTTCCATCAGTAATAAAATCATCCTATACTATCATTTCCACATTTTCACATATACTGCCCCAGCAATTCTCCGCGTTTCTCTCATTTATAATTAGGGATCATATCCCGACTCATTTGTACACTCATATCTACATTTCATTTAATGTGAACCACAAGATTTGATTCTTCTTTCTACACTCTCCCAGTGTACTCCTACTACTCTGTCACCAGCTGTCCAGCATTGATGCAAACGTGTCCTCGCCTTTATACAGATTAAAAGTAAAAAATAAACTTTTATAATAAACGGAGCAAAAGAAGCTTGCACCTCTGACATGTCATTAATCACATAATCCACTCCAGTCTAATCGTAATAAGCATGTTTCTGACTGTGATTCAGATACTGAAGCTATTTACGCTAGATTACTGCAAGCGAAGTACAAACAGACACATTTTAAAAATTGGATAATGCTTAGCAGTTAGTGTTTACTCTAGAGTTTTCTGAAAAAGAGGATTGGTATACAGAAGAAATAAGCAATTATTTTGCTAAAATGCTCAGCAATATGGGAAAAGCTGTTTACATTTATAACCAATTATCTACGCAATATTATTGCTTGACGCTCGGAAATACAATAAATTTTGAAGACAACTGACTTGTGGGGTTCGAATGTTAAGTTGTTACTAAAGTCTGTTAAAATCAGTGCTGGTGCTAAGCTCTTCTGGCTCCCGCTGGATCTGGGGTGTTAAAATCAAATTTACTTTGAAAAGATTTTTGTAAATAAATGGGCAAAAGAATGCAAGCTCCAGCGATTGGCTTTATTCCTCTAATTGGATTCAGAATGAAATTACAGAAAGGATCACATAACTAAATATAAAACTATACATACATATATTATTCTATAGATACATGACGGGCGCCAGATTATATAGATACTGACGGGCGCAGTGCAACCGCAATGGACGACAGAATTTAAAGGCTGAGAAATTATTAGAACCAGGAACAAACCAGGAGAGAGAATTTATGAGCAGCAGATAGGGCGGATTAAAAACTTTTATGGGCCCTAAGAATATCATCGGTTTGAAAGAGGCGCTCAACAGAATCAAAATAATAATAATAAAATGAGAAAATTTCCAACATAAACCCAGCATTATTTGAATGAGAATATATTGGGAGGTGATGCCGCTGAATCATTGAGGGTTTTTCATCATAGAACTGCCATAAGTTTAGCCGATGCAAAATATTTTGTAAGCATTAATTCAAATTAAAACAAAGATACATCTCTTGCCTAGCTAAGAGGCAAAACTGCTTGAAATCTTAGATATTTTCAGTAGCAACACAATGAAAAAGATCAATCTCCTTATTTAAAACTGACTAAATTTAGAATTTACATTTTTGACACGCCTCCTGAACAACTGAATTTACTTTACATCAGCATTTTAAATTCTCATAATAGCTTCTTTTATTAAATTATAATGGCTCTTCCAGAAGCTACAAATATCTATCTTCTCCTTAAAAATTTCGAGACGATTTGCTTTGCAAACCTTTTAAGTGCTGGTTTTAGCTCAGCACTTCTATTACAGGCTAACATTAAAAATTCCGACAACTTTAAGACAATCGGAGTGCTGAATTTTTGAAAAAGGCCGGTTTTTTTATTGTTATATTAGTCGTATATATTTAATAAAAACCAACTACCTGCTCTTTCAAGAAAGAAAATCAAATATTAAATGTGGAGCAAATGAAATATAATTTTCACCATCAGAATAAAACAGTTCAACCAAATTTTAGTTCTGCTGAATAAAATAATTCTACGAGGTTTTAATTAGGCTTAGTAAAATAATTATTCAGAATTTTAGTTTTAAAATATTGTGAGAATTTTAATCTAAGTAAAATAATGTCTCAGAAATTTAACCAATACTGTATAATTGAAAGGAATCTAAACAGCAGGTAGACTGTGAGGATGATAACCTTCTTGAATCACAGTAATGATAGCTTCAGCAACAGAATGCTTCAATTTGTGAAGGAAATGCTCGTATTAACCATTGTATAACAACAGTCTTCCCTATTTAGCGTACACTTATTACAATTCATTGTCAAATTGCTGTGATACATTAAAGACTTTTTCTTTACATGTAAATAACCATTTGTGTTCAGTACTTTTAATTACTAATTTTAAATCTCTGTAGTACAATGTCAATTAGTTTAAGTTTAACTAAAAATTAATCCTTCTCTTAATAATAAAAATACAAAAATTACTCAAGTTGAGAGTCTCTTGATAATCACTCTGGGGAAAGTCCAGACCTTCGCATGATGCCCTACTCATCTATCTCTGTCTAGAAGCACGAATGATCTGGAAGAAATGAAGAGAACTGCTTTGCTGTTCCAATGGAAAACCAGCTGTTTATTTGCAAACTGAGATTTCAGCTCCTGGACAACCAAGGCTTTGCTTTA